CGGTTGCCTTGACGGACGTTCGCAAAGTCATTCCTTCGGATTCAAGGTCGGCAAAGCGCGCAAATCCCTTGAACGCCAGTTCATCAAGACTTTGAGAAATGACCGCGTGAAGTGGTGGGCAGGAAAGTGTAAAGAGATGGAGAAGGGAGCGGCAATCGGCAATAGTCACAATCTTTTCGTTTAATTAGGAGTACGGGTCCAAGGAAAATAGGCCAAACTCAGATAACCAAGGAGTTTGACGGCACCTTGATACACCATCAGCAACGCCGTCTAGATCGATGAGCAGAAGATTTTGGGGCACGGTTCAGCTGGCTTCCTTTGACACAAGAGGTCCCAATACCTGCAGCAACTGGGTAAATATCGCCAGTTGACATCAAACCTCCATCTGAAATGGTTACCTGGGCAGTAAATTACCTCAAAAAGTAAGAGGCCTCTGACCCTGGTGGGCTGTCTTCCTAGGCTGTTAAGGACGGAGGTCCTGTCTTGGTTTTGGAGTACACGGAACAGTTGAAGTAAATATGGGAAAGGGAACAGGTTCCGACTGAATGGAGTGAAACGGTGATCATACAGAATTACAAAGGCGATAGGTCCCCATGTAAAAACCGCAGAGGAATTAGTTTAATCGACATTGCCCCTAAACTTCTCGCCGGCATCATACTGCGTCGATTGTCTGCCGTTTGTGAAGAGTGCACACGTGAGAACTAGGTTGGTTTCAAACCAGGTCGAGGCTGTATCGACCACGTCTTCACTCTTCGTAAAACCTTAGGACACGGACACTCCTTTGGTAGACCCACCAGTTCTATCTTCCTCTATCTAAAAGTCAATCATGGAATAATTTTCATTTTTATAAAGATTATTGTACCGTGATTTTCTTGGCACACAGTCTGTTCTCAGACAAGTGTGAAATACATAATAATCTAAAAGCGGCTTTCGACTCAGTCGACCGCTCTAAACTCTGACGCTGCCTTTCTCTGAAGGGTGTGCTCGAGAAATTTAACTCAATATTACAATCCCTCTACAATAATAGCCGAAGCCGAGTTCCAGCTTACGACACTTTTTCGCCCGAGTTCACCACAGAAAATGAAGTTCGTCAGGAGTGGCCTCTCTCCGTCTCTATTCAACTTTGTCATAGATTAAATTCTTGAAACAGCCCTATCCTCGTGCGAGGAAAGTGGCATCGATTTACTCTCAAGTAGCAGACTGTTTGACTGTTTGAGTATGCAGACGACATTGTGCTACTAAGTGAAGATTCAAGTAAGTTGCAAGCTTGTCTAAATAGTTTGAGGGCTAGTGTAGTATGTTCGGTATGAGTTTTGCACCTACAAAGTGCAAATAGTTGCTTCAAGAATGGATTGGTGCAGTACTCAATTTCACTCTAACTGGGGAAGTAACAGAGCAAGTTTTGTTATTTGGGCAGCTACATCTCACCCGGTGGACGAATCACGAATGAAGTATTAGTCCGTATACAGAAGGCTTGGTTTGCACTTGCCAACTTGGGACATATGTGGTACTGTCGCCACATCAGGCTGCCCGTGAAGAGCTGTGTGGATATAATGCAGTAGTTAGGCCGGTGTTATTATACGGTGTAGAGACTTGAACATTACGAGAAAAGAATAGAGATAAACTGTCGGTGTTTGAACATTGTCTACGCAGCATAGCACAAATCCGGCGGGGAAACCAGTCCAGCAATGCTGAAGTGAGTCGTGGAGTTTTAGGTGATCTCGGTCATACCTTGGAGCAAGTTATCGACCATTATAGACTACGTTGGTGGGACCTGTATTATGCATGGCACTAGATAGGTTGCCAAGGTTAGTTATGTTTCTCGAATCAGGTTGTGGATGGAAAAAAAGTCAAGGTCGGTCAAACTAAGACCTGACATGGGGGTATAGAAACCCTAACCAAACACCGGGTGATGTAGGTTTCTTTAGATTCCCTGGATGGGGGCATGGTAACCGGTAATTAGAGACACTGAGTGACGTGGCTAGGTATCGCAAACAGTGGCGCTTGTACATCTACTCATTCTTGGGATGGCAGTCAATACGACTTCATCCTTTGGATTTGCTCTCAGCATTCCGATCTTCATTCCGCTCTTTCATTCAAATAGGCAGCTTAAAGACCGGAGCACGAAAGTGAACTTCACTTGAGGCGGTGAAAACTAGCCTTGGGCCCTAAAACGACCAAAGTTTCGAAGATTGATACATCCTTCTCAGGTACTCCATATCCTAACAAACATTTTCATGACGCGGTCCTATCGGCACGATTGGCGGGTAGTAACACGGAGTGATATGACAGTCTTAAACAATTGCGTTCATGCAACTGCGCGATATCCTCGCAACGTTAATCTTCATGTTTTCTCTATTTTTATATTGATCCGAGCTTTTCAATATCTTTTATTTTTTATTTCACACATCTGACGTTAGACTATGCCAAAAAAATCATGGTACAATGATCTTTATAAAAAAGAAAATGTTCCATAATTCACATGTGGGCTGAATACTGCATGGTTGCTCAGGCCAATGCAAGTGAATTTTTATCAGGAATCCACAACCGGAGCCTTCGGATAGCCAAAGCTTGACCCGCAAGGCAGCGGGTCACTCTTTCATTCCAGTGGACAGTCATGAGACAGCAACCGAAACCAGTGCTTGAAAGTGTTGTAAGAACTGAACCGAACTGTTCTTCGAANTCTTCGAAGGTCCCGTGAAAACCCAGCTAGTCACCCATTCCAAATGACTATCCCTGTGTCGAACTTCCAAATTATTTCCCACCGGGAATTGCAAGTGTGAAACATTCCCCTTTCGGTCTATTGCCTAACTCACCACACCCTTGTCTTTAATCACAGAGTCAATAAGCTAGTTCTCATGTGAATGTTCACTTAACCGTATTTTGGACGATGTGGTTTTCCCCTTTTAACGGTATTTAGCGGTTAAAAAATAAAATTGCGAACTCACCGTGGTTATCTACAGCAACCTCGTCCACCAATGAACTAATGTTAGTAAAACTGTCAGAGGTACAGCTGCCTTGACTGATGGGTGGAGGTTCCGGAGTAGACCATGTTTCTTCAGCTACATGTGATCTGGACTGAATGATTAGATTAGAGAAAAAACAGAAAATGGTGTCAGTCCACTCCTCAAGAAACCGGTATGGTGCTACGACGTCGTTCCACTAATTGAAAAAGTAACAAATACTAGAAATAAAAAGGAACAATTAATCTGTGACACCAGAACTGTAATGGGTTTTTTTCTATTTTTACACATATCTGAGTTGAGACGGTGCCAAACAAATCAGGGTACAATGATCTTTTTATGAAGACATTTTAGAACATTTTTGTGTCAGGACTCGAACCGGTTATCACGGTTATCACTTTGTGCGAACGGCTCAACCAATTTAGAGTATCAAGCTTGAATTAACCATCAAGAGTGCCTGGTGCCTCTGAACAATCCAAGCTTGGTACCCCATTTTAGAACAATTCAAAAATCATGAATTCCAAAAGATGACCTGAAGACAAATGCAAGGTGATATTCGAAACTGATATGCGATTGCTGACTTTCTAATCACGTGGTAGATATTATAGCGGAAGACATTCGTCTTCAAACCAGCAACTTTCGAACACGGTATACCATACCAATGAATGGAATAGTTCTGTACACTGAAAATCCTGATAATTGAAGGAGCTGTCTTCCGTGATTATGTCAAGTCTAACAATACGAAGAGAAAAAACTATATCAGGATAACGTTACCGTCGAAGTACCACATCACACAACATTATATTTCAGACCTGTCTGGATTCGGATAAATCACGGATTAGTTATTCTTAACATAAAAACTAACTTGAGGGTTGAATAGTATAAGGCTGCCAAGGCAGAAACAGATTAACTTTTCGTAGGGGAGATTCCCAATCGGAGACCACGACTAGCCTGATCCGCAAGGCGTCGGGTAAATTTCTCTTTTTTTTATAGACTGTAGTATTATGATTTGATTGGCACACAATCTGGATCGAGACGCGTGTGAAATACAATACAAATACAAGCCATAGGGGTGGTATATGAAACCTGGGACCTGTTGGGAGTCGGTTTTGATTTAATCGGACGGAGTCAAACGCCCGAATTGCCCAATGAAACCCTTAGTTGAACTGCCTTTGGCTCATTCACTTTAGCTCCGGATTTAGGCTTTTCATTCATATCTTGCTGGGAAAACACCTATTTTGAATGGATATGGTTTCCTCATTAGAGATTACTTGAGAAGCTCGGTCGTATGAGAACAACTCGCGTGGTGTAAAGCGTAACCATTTCAAAACCAAGACCCCAACCCTTGATTCATTTACACATTATAGTTTGACAACGAGCTCTAGTTTGGATCGAAACGTCACAATAAATACCACTCATGACTTAGCGTGGCCTTATGTGGTTCATTACCACAAGTCCCGGCTTAGGTTACTGGTTGTGATCACTGAACAGTGGGTCTTCGTGCTGTTCGGCTGTTCATCACAAAAAGATGTGCAATAAAAAGTATACACTTTCAGCCCTTGCTGCTCCATTTTGTCCATTAGTGATGCTTCCGCTCAGTACCGGCCATAAACCATTGACCGTCAATTGCCCGCTAGCATTCTCACTGACCGTTGTTCATTGAAAATCGTATACAGAATTATACTTCGCCGATATATATATATATATACCAGGGAACAGGTGTGTATAAAAACCAAATATGCAATTTGCTGTTAACGTGACCAGTAGTCCTTGATCAACCGTGAATATATACAATACAGTCTGGATACATACCTGACGACTTGATGAATTAGCAGCTCCCGGCATCCAAANTCGGAAGTCATCGGAGGTTCGAAACCCGAAGGAACGTGTCCCGACTCGTCTTTTGATATCATTTTATTATTAGAATCTTCTCTAATATTCTGCGATATTTGGGTTGGTGAAGGTGGAGGCGGGAGAGGAAACCCTGTCGACTTGAAAAAAAGGTAATTAGTTTATAAATACGTCTGAAGTGAACTTTGCAAAAATTGCATAATGTTTATCGATTTCCACATGTCAATTGAATGAGTCAAAATCAGCGCTTCAAGGATCAGACGTTCCCCCTTCCTGTTCGCCCTCGTCCTTGTCCTCACGCTCTATCAGATTGGCCAACAAGCTGCCCTGGCTAGAACCATCGAAACGTTCAATGTAGATGTATCTTGTGTCTGCGAAACAAGTATACAAGACCCCACTTCCATTATCTCTCTGCGTTCTTCCGATCCAACCCCAAACTCACGTTTCACCCTTCGCGTGTCCGGCTATTCGGCATTCGAAGCTCGCGGTGTTGCTAGTGTTGAGATTGCGCTAAGTGCCTAGGAGGGGCGCTCGCTTCTTGAATCGATTCGTCAGTAGCCGATTGTGCGCTCTACGTCTCAACGGTTCAGCTCGAATCAACCGCTACAGAAAGGAGCGTCAATGCTTATTCGTGGTATCGGCGTATACACTGACCAATTGCAGTATACCTGAAATCAAGAATGAATTCTACCAGGATCTTTCTCAACTTCGCCAAAGTGCTCGATCAACGGACGTCGTAGTAGTCGCCGGAAACTTAAACGCTCAAGTGGGATCTCTGGACGAATCAGAAAGGCATCTTGGCGGACAACAAGTAATCGCAGCCAATCGGACGTATAACGACGATCGCCTACTTCAACTCTGCACGGACCACGGATTGTTCCTGTCAAACACTAAATTCTCA